GGTGGGGAATTGGGGGTGAGAAACAACAAAAGAAAATTCTGCTTGAGAAATCCCTTAATGAAACCTAAGTCTCTGTAAACAAATAAATATGAACATAAAGCACAAAAACGATAAAAAAAACCTAACACTACTTCCATCACCAAACAACAGTTTTAGAAACAGGGGAAGAAGGCTGTGCTACAGACGACCTACACCAGCTGCGAGACAGGGATACTCATGCAACAGCCATATTGGTTTTGTGCTGAGGTTCTGATGCGTTAATAAGGAACTGCCTGGTAAATGTCAGAGTCCTGCCAGGGGTGAAGAATATTAGCTACAGAAGACCACAAGCCCCAGGACTTACTGTCTGTCAGCATCTCACCGGCCTGGAGAGTTTTCTGAGCAGAAAGGGTTTTCCATCCCTGCTGGCTCACAGCCTAGTCCTCTTCCATGCCAGTTAAGAAGGGGACTTGAGTCAGGCAGAGGCTGTCTGGTAAGTAATGTCAGAAGGATGCCATGTTTCTGTGGACAGCAGATCCTACTCAATGGTAAGGCCTGACCTTTTACTTCAGTGCCGGGGTTGGGCAATCATGGAGTTTTACTCAAATGCCACCTTCACTACTTTCCCCATTACTAAAAGAATGTCCCCCTTTAGATGCTGGGGATAGGAAAGCTACAAAGTAGGTTTACACAAAAGTCAAGGAGCAGGGTCTTATTGTTGAAGCCCTAAAACAGAAACAAAGTGGTGCATACTGAGTGACCTAAAGAGCTCTGAGCATGTGAGCAAAGGTCTCCATCCTGTCCATAGACAACGAGACCCACAGAGGAAGCTGAGAGCTTGCAGAGCAGAAAGAAAAGACAGACTCTCTCAGGAAACCAAACTGCAGACAGGAGACAGAATGGTTCCACAGGCGACATGGGTCCCCAAAGATAAGAACAGAGACACGACAGAAGAGCTCCCTTAGGGTCTTGGCAGCCTTCTGCTCACACGTGAACTACACTTCCCAAATTCTGATACGCACAATGAAAACTATTATCCCACCATCTGAGCAATTCCCGTGCAGAATCAATGAAAGTCCATGGGGAGAAGGCACCCTGAGGTCCCACTGACTGTGAAAGGCCTTCTGGATCTTCAGAGAACTGTGAAAGCAACTGTACAGTGGCTTCTGGTTCACAGCTACAACACAGAGAACATGTACACAACCTTCGTACTTGCAAATGCCTTCTCCACAGAACAGCCAAAAGAGATGAGTCTGGTTTAGTTTCCCCTCAGAAATACCAAGAGACTATGTGAAGGGGAAAGAAACGGGATGCATCTGCCTGCCTGAACCTCAGGCAGGGAGCACACCGGGGTTGTGGAACAAAGATTAAAGATCAGCCGGGAAAGTGGGGCATCCCTGTGATCCCCCAGGACTCAGGTGGCTGAAGCAGAAGATTGTGAGTCTGGGTCTAGCCTGACCTACACAGCAAGCATCATTCTGAAAAATGATGAAAAGAAGAAACACTACAAAAATCATATTGCAAACCCATTGTCACCACATTGGCTCCCACTCCTAGAAGTAAGCAAGCGGTGCCTGCTTTTTCTATGCCATGTTTGCTTGGACTCTTGATTTGGCCCCGGGTCAGCCACATGGTTTGCTCATGAGGCTGTGCACATGTCCTAAATGACATATGTCTCACTACAGCATGTGCCTTTTTCCTCAACACCAAGAGCACTAGAGCAGGGCAATGCTCAGCTCCAGCTGCACAGACACACGCGGCTCCTCCAGAGCAGCTCTGGAGAGAGGTAGGAGAAACTGAGAATCCAACAGTGTGGCCCACTGTGTTGCTTCCAGGAGAAACTTGCTAGAAGATTGTAAGTTCGCAACACACTGGTTTGAAGAAAGAAACAGCCAGTTTAATAACAAAGAAGGGGATTTGGCTTATAAATGAATTCCAATCTTTTTTTCTGCATCTTAAGTAGGGGCTATCACAAAGCCACCTGTTTCTTATGCCTAAAGTCCTCATGTTGCTAGAAAATGCATTCCTGAACGCAGATGGCTTCAAAGTATTCAACGTGCTTCATTATAATTAGCCCAGCCTTGACGGAAGAGAACGAACAAGAAACCAGATAACTACTAAGAATACACTGTGAGTAAACCAACACCTCATCCCAGGCCAGCTAGCACGACAACAGATTTCTAATGAGCAGACACACCAACTTAACCTTGACTTTAAGATGACCTTGGAGAAGGGGAGATGAAGAGGTGGTGACCATGATAGGTACGCAGAATATTTGGGTATAAGAGCTAAATCCAATTACCTCCAGACTAGCCCAAAAGGGCTGCCCCACCTTCCTGACACAAAGTCAAAAGGTCAGTTTGTTTCTGCAGCAGATGGATTCTGATGCCAGTATTCTGCTGTGCGACTATACAGTTTCTCTGTGCATGGAGGTAAGAAAACACGGTAGCCATATAGCCAGATAAGACAATGAAGTAAAAGAGCAATCCTGCATTATATGGTTGGCAACTGGTTTGCTGGCCTGTCTCTGAAAGTCATGAACTCTTTCAGAAAAGTAATTAAATACCTGGATTAGAAATTCTGCACTAAGATGAAAAATGACTGAGACTGTTCCCAGCGAGGTCTCTGGGTCCACAGGAGCACAGCTTTCAAGCAGTTCTAGCTATAAGCAACATCTCCAGTGGGGATGCTTACTAAACAAAGCAGAAGAAGAAAAACTGGCCAGCAGGGCTTCAGCTTTAGTAATATTAGGTACCCAATATTCTCCAAAAGACAGAGTCTTTTTGCCATTGGTTCTAGGGATTCTGATCCTGTTTCCCACGGTATAGAACAGCTCATAAGATACGGAAAGCTTTTTAAAAGTCATTGCAGGGTATCTTACATCTGTGGGTGAAGACATTTTCTCATCTGCTCAGAATCCTCCAAGGATCCCATTTCCCTCACAGTAATAAGCAGGCTGTTACTCCCAAGTTGCTAAAACTATCCCCGTGACATCATGGTCTACAACTGTGAGTCTCAACACTCACACTGCTGCTAAACTGTTCCATTGACACTAAGCATTCTGAGCCCTATGGCATCTGTAGTGCTTGCTCTTTCTGCTTGAAATGACCCCACATCCCCACATGGCTCACCTCTTCCGCTTCTTTCCAGTAGGATGCTCTCTGGTTCTTGCCATCTGCTTGCCTGTTTTCTGTAGCACTTAGCAACATCAGCATATCATCTAACTTGCCAGTGTTTTGTGTTTCTCATTTCTCAGCTCCCTGCACTAGGATGCCCTAATGCAACCAGAAGAAGGCCCAGCACAAGCTCAGGGACCATAAACTTGATAGCATGAGCAACAATGGCGTCACAGTCCAGGTTTTCTACCATTTCCCATTATGTCCTATAGAAAGTCTGAGATTGCAGGCACATTTTAACCATCTTCTACCACCTGCTAATCTTACTCTCTCTTTATTAACTCACCAACAGTGAAATCCATTCATTTGAAGTATAAAAGTCAACATTTCTTTTAAACGTATCAAGTTGCATGATTATTATCACAAGTCTCATTAGCATGAAGGAAAGGGGGAGGGCTTAGTGCATTCTCACTATAAGGGTGCCCACAGATGAGTCTGACGACTGTTCTCTTCTCACTGAATATGGTTATCTACTGTAGTGGTTTGAATATGTTTGGCCCCCATAGATTCACGTGATTGAATGCTTGGCTATAGAGAGTAGGACTATTAGGAGGCGTGGCCTTGTTGGAGTAGGTGTGGCCTTGTAGGGAGAAGTATGTCACTGAGGGTGCTGACTTTGAGGTCATATATGCTCAAGCTACGCCCTAATTAGGATATCTAGTTTACATTTAATTTTGTCTAACTATAGGATGTCACTTAAATAGTAGTACCGAGTTTCTTTTTTTAAGAAGTCATTTACGGGGGCTGGAGAGATGGCTCAGCGGTTAAGAGCACTGACTGCTCTTCCAGAGGTCCTGAGTTCAAATCCCAGCAGCCACATGGTGGCTCACAACCATCCGTAATGAGATTGGATGCCCTATTCTGGTGTGTCCAAAGACAGCGACAGTGTACTCATAAATAAAATAAATAAATAAATATATAAATAAATAAATCTTTAAAAAAAAGTCATTTACTTATGAAAAAAATAAGTTGAAAAAAGCTAAATAGTTAACACTATATAAAGTAGAAATTGAGAGCATTAACAAAACAGTAAGCTAAGGATGTGTACTGGCCTTACCGTGTAGACCTACTGTGCTCACAGACTACAGAAAAGCAGCTAGTCTCATAAATCACTGCTAGGTGGGCAATCATTCTTCCCAGATCCTTTGTATCTCCCTAGGTCTGTCTGTTTCAAGGAAGCCACTGATAGCTCATGCTACAGCTGCTCTGCAAGGATGTTTGTACTGGGAAGAACCGTGGGTGCAAAGTTGGTGTCTTCCTGCACATGTTAGGGCAGAGCGATTCATAGACTTGGAAGATGCTTCCGATCCATTAGAAAAGTCAGTTCCTTTGTCTCAAGGTTCTACTTACATATTTCAACCCCTTCCGGTGTCATGCTGCCAGTCCACCTGTAGAAACCATCTCAAAGAAAACAATGGCCTGAACTTTTGTGACCATCAACCCAGATTCTTATGAAATCCTATCCATCAGGTGACAGCTGGCTTTGGGGAGGTAATGGATCTCGAGGGCAGAACTCTTATGAATGGACTCAAGTCACACTTGAGACTTGTTTGTCCCTTCTACCATGCAAAGACACACTGAGAGAGTGCCATCTGTGAATCGAGAAACATGTCCTCACCCACACTGCTTTCTCTGTGCTTCCCGGTCCCACAGACTAGGAGGGTAAATCCTTGTGTTTAGGAGCTGTGTGGGCTGCCACATTTTGTAGCATACACACGACATGACCCTGGCTACTGTGACTGTTGGTGTCACCTGCCCTCTCCTCTGACTAGAATCTCCTGCATTAGATCTGAAATTGCCAGAAGAGGTGAGTCTCAGACCCATTAGCCTCCTGATGGTCCTTACCTCATTATGGATTTCTTCTCCTTGTTTCAAAACTGCAGGTTCAAAGGACTTCAATGAGACGTTGCCATCGTCCGAGTCATTGAGAACATTCTGCAGCGCAAACTGGCAACGTTGTAAGATATAATCCAAGGTGCCTGTAGAGCACTGTCAAGACAGAACCACAGTTAGACTGAGTACTCCAAGCTCACCATGCACTCTTCCTGTTCACAGTTGCCTCTGCTTTACACACGCATCGGCCATCCTCACAGCTCATGCTCCTAAACGACAATTACAGCAGTGGCCTGCTTGCCTGATTCTGGACGGCCAGCCAGACCTCAGTAGTCACACAGGCTGTTGGCCTGTGTTATATGTCATTATATGGACCTCCTCTCTCTGAATAAACAACAAGAGCCCTGAGGTGTGCTACATATATGAGGTGTATGTATATACATATATGCTTGTATGATTAATCTACGTATACTGTAACACTGACTCTTAAATGTAGAAGAAATGTAGACAGTAATTATTCAGTGAATATTCAGTTAGCAAGAATGTCAAAGATAGTGATTTTTGTCTTGTGTCATGAATATATCAATGGGGGAATGGTAGACAGAGCGGACAACTTGGTGCAAAGCACACAAACTAGAACGGCAATGATGAGTGTGTGTGTGTGTGTGTGTGTGTGTGTGTGTGTGTGTGTGTGTGCAGGGATGACATTATAGCTCAAGGAAAACAATTCTTCCCCTTTCTAAATATAAGAGGCAGCTGCAGTCTTTCCTCAATAATGAAGAGTATGGGGCGTAGGCTGTAAAGCATACTGAAGGCAAAGCTGAGACCTGACTATCAGTGGGGACAGAGACACCTAGTTTACCCTCTCCAGGGTTGTGAAAATGTGACAAGAATCAAATGGACACACCCTATTGAAGGAGCCTATGTTGGAAAAGCCAAAGATACAGATAGAGTATGAATTCATTTATTTTGATAATGAAATGATTTCCTAAGACGATAAAATTTTACACACACACACACACACACACATACACACATACATACATATATATATACATGTGTATGTAGGTAGGTAGGCAGGTAGGTAGATAGACAGGCAGACAGGCAGAAACAGACAGACAGACCTCCTCTGGATGACTGAGAAAAAAATGTATCCTTAAATTATTTTTATTTTAACATTTATAACTTAAAGCAAAACCATAGGGGGAAAAAAAACCTTGCAAGGAAATCTTGTGGTGTTAAAAGTATTATTGCCTCTTTATACAACATGATGTGATGAGCCTGGGAAACAGTTTTTGTGTCCACAACAGAAGCTTGACTAATGCATTTTGCTGTGGTAATCCCAGAGCGCAGAGCACATGAGGGGAAGCAGCACTGAGCAAGAAGGGGTACCCCACTCACAAAGCGCCCAGTGCCTACTGCTACATGGCAGTTGTGAAGAAAGGCATTTCACTTTCATTTTTGCATTCTAAGTATGGAGTGGCCTGCCCCTGGGGCAAGCAAGTGCATTTCCACAGCTAAGAACTGGAACAACCTACACTCTCATCAACCCTAACTTTATTTACAGTCATAAAAACAGAAGCGCAGGACTCTGTCTTTCTGACTTCATATATAATTGGTATAAAGAATTTATGAGTGGTCCTGAGTTTTTAAGGTCTTAATCCTTTTCTGGTCACAGCTTTACTGAAATACAATTCATATCATGAAGTCCAACTATTGAAAGCACCAGTTCAGCATTTTTGAGTATATTCAGAGTTACATCATCATTACTACAATAACTCTGGGATAATTCTGTTACTCCAGATGAAACCCTTGCCCCTTGGTGCCCTTTGGCGTCATTTTCAACAGCACTAACTTGCTTCATGTTGTAAGGGGATGATGCTGAAACCAGTCTGACACAGACAGACAGACAGACAGACAGACAGACAGAGACACACACACACACACACCCCACACACACACCCCTGCCTGTCCTGGACCTTTCAGCTCATTATAATAATCACTGTGTGTGTGTGTCTGTGTGTGTGTGTGTGTGTGTGCGTGCGTGCGTGCGTGTGTGTGTGTGTGTGCATGGTCTTTTTACACTACTACACCTCTGTGGTTAATTCCTGTTGCAGCGTGCATCGGCATTGCAACCTTATTTATTGCCAAACGGTATTCAATTACATGGATATGTGATGAGCACTTGGGCTGTATCCAGTTTGGGGCTACCATGAACATCCATGTACTAGTTTTCATTTCTCTTGGCTATATCCCCGGTTATAGAATTGCAGTACCGTAGAGTGCCCGCATTTAGCCCGAGAAGTGCCAGACTATGCCAAAGTCGCTGTAGAGTAAGTACATTCCTTCAGCAGTGCAGAAGAGCTCCTGTTTCTGCCCACAGCCTCACCAACATTTGTTACTGTAATTTGACCCTTGCTTTTACTGGCAATTCTCTAATGACTAATGGTGATAAACACGTGTTCTGGTTCTGTCTGTTTGTTTGGTTTCCTGTGCTGGGGAGGGAACCCTGGGCTTTGCACGTGAAAGGCACCTCTGCTGTGCACCTTTCATGTGTTCTTGACTATTTTTATACAGTCGCTGGCACATGCCTGTTTAGCTCAGTCACCATTTTAAACAGATTCATCTCTCTTTCAAATGACTGATTTGTAAACATTCCTTTTATACTCTAATCATAGACACTTATTAGACACACGGCTTGTTAATATTTTCTTTCATTCTATCTCTACTGAGTTGACAGTTCACTTTGAAGGACACAGAATTTTTAATTATGTGATGAAGTCCATGTTTTCTATTTTTTCCGTGAGTTATTTTTGCATTGGCTGTCTTATCTAAACCAATGCCCACACCAAGATAAGAATCAGTTGTTGGCAGGTAATTATCAGTGAGGTTTTCAAAATAGAACAAAGCATAGAGAACAGAGAAGAGGGCAGGTTAACACACGTGCGTCTGTGCCTTTGACTGATACATATTATCATGGAAATGATAACATAAGCTTGATTAAATCTGGTGGTATCTAGGAAGGAAGTACTAGTTAGTCTGAGAAAACAAAGAGAGGATATATAACCTTATATACTTCTTAAATTTTTAACTGATTGAGTAATTATTCAAAAAATAATTATACATAAAATTTAAATTTCTAAAAAAAAAAAAAAAAAAAAAACCACTGTTGAATCTCAAGAACATTCTGAGTGGAACCGAAACCAAAAGGAAAAGAGCCAATAGAACAGTTCTGCTCGTACACAGCCAGTTTGTCCACACAGAGCTCTCTCCCATTAACTCCGAGGAATAGCCACGCACCATTTCCACAGGACCATCTGCTTCCTACCTACGGTGAGCAGCAGAACAGCAAGTCATTTTGCGGATGGAGCACAGGAAAGTCACATAAGGTGAGGTGGCTCTGGAAAATCTGAGGGTTGGGAAGTAGGAGTTTCTTTTCTCCCTTCTACTGAGAGAAGCAAGAGTGCACTTCCATGTTAGGGAAGGAAGAGCCTTTCCCTTCTTTGATCATTGGAAACAGTTACATAAGATGAAATGAAACATTTTAAATAAAACACAAACATTCTGTCACCTGAACCTGTGTCTAGTTTCCAGTCTCTGCCTCTGCATCAACAGAAGCATGAGCTGCTTTTCTCTGCCTACACATAAGGATTCAGAGCTGCCATTCCCACTGGTGGTAACTGAGTCGATTTTATTAACTCATCACAGGGGCATCAAGGGTCTGCCTAGCTTTTCACTGGTGCCCGTTCTGGAAAAGCCTCTTTATCAACTCTCTTTTACTAAACTAATTCCAAGGTTTGATTCCTAAATTTACTGTAAGAGACTGTCCTGTGGCACTGTGCACATCCTGTGTAGATCTCCAACGACTAAACCAACTAGATGTACAGGGACATACAGCTTCACCGTACGTACTGTTACCGTTACTGAATGTTACTAGTTTTGACTTCAGACGGCACAGTTTGGTGGAAATAAAGTTACACTAAAATAGTGATTTAAAAAAAATATTTTTACCTTTGGGATACTTGCTCACCCAAAATCCTATTTAGTCCGAATCATGTATAATAAGACTCGCAGTAGTCATAAATAACTAGACACTAGACATTTGAGACTTACATGTCACAAGCACTATCACAGAAGTTCCAAAGCATGTAAGCAAATTGAGTGCAACTATGTTCCAATAAAACTTTATTTACACAAGCAGCCCACTGTACTAGTCATTTTTCTGACTGACAAATATAGTATAGAAAAAAGATATTTAAACAAATAACATCATAGGTGAACAATTATTAAAACAACATGTACTTTGAACTAAACTACAGAAAATATAAGAATCATAGATTGGCAGCAATTTTTCTCCTTTTGAGATGGCCTCACAATTCTAGGCAGGCCCCAAACTTGCTCTGTAGCACAGAATGGCCTTGTTCTGGCCCTCCTGCTTCCAGCTCCCAAGTGTTGGGTTTACAGGGACGGCATCACATGCTCTGATTATGGCATGCTGGTGGTCAAACAGAAGGTCTCATGCACACCAGGGAAGTGTTCTACCAATTCAGCCACATTCCCAGCCTGACTTGAGAAATGTTTTCTTCCAAGAGAACCACTACACACAGTCCCTCCCTCTCTTTATTTAAAGTGAATTAATGTTCAAAATATGACCTAAAAATACAAAAGATACAAGGATAGCTATGATTAATCTGAGAAAGCCAACCTTAAGGACACATTTTTAAAAACTTAATGGGTGGGATGAAATTGGTCAGCATGGACAATGGAGTCAGAGCTGTGGAGTAGGATTTGTTCCAAGTCCAACTTCAGGTCACCATGTTGCCTTCTGCTCTTTGCTACCTTGTATTCTGCACTACTCTTGCTCCTCGGCCTAAGTATCTTCTGTAGGCCAGGCTGGACTGGAGTGTGTGAGCTCCTTCCTCAGCATATCCCATCACACCTCACTTTTAAGTGTCTTGAAGACACCAACAAATCAACTGTTCCTGCTTCTAACTGGCTAAAAGAAAACCTTGAGTGCCACACAACTAACGCATGAAAAAGAATCCCCCCTTCTGAATAGAGTTCTCAGTGAGGAGTAACTTTCACCACTGCAACTTTTTTACTGTCTCTTGCTTCATTTCCACGGCAGTGAACTCAGAGGCTGAACCGCCTCCCCGAGTCTCTGCTGCTCCTCTCTCTGTTAGTGCTCCCATTCAGTGCTCCCATTCCCTGTTCTAAAGGGCTTAGCTCGTCTCATCCGGAGAGTCAGATGAATTTGACAATACTTGTATCCCTATCAAACGGATATTCCAGCCATGTTACTCTCAGTGGCTGCAAGGCCTATGGATGATACAGCACTAATAAGTCTGTCTGTCTACTCATACAGGATAGATTACCAAAGATGTGAGACAGACAGACTTGAACAGCACATACTCAAGTGATTGACAAGAACAGGACTCTTGGGAGGGTTGTATCTAGACGGAGGGTTCCAAAAGGAAATGGAGTCATTCTGCACCACGTCAGATGGTCTATAAATATTGCATCCTCTGCACCTTCTTTACCCTCTCTCCCTAGACTGAGGACAAATGACACTTGCCAATGGCATTTACTTCTCAAAGAGACAACTCCAACCACCTAGGATAAGGATTTGCATGTTTGTATTTTCTCCCCAAAAAGAAACAGAGTGGAATGAAAGGCTCGGGCAGAAGGACCCCATGGGCAGCTCTTTGCTCCCATGCTTGCAGCACAGGGCCTAAGACCAAGCACTGAAGCAGTCAAAAGAATGAGTGAACAGCAAAGAAAAGATTGCAGAAAAGGACGACAGAATGACTGAGGACTTGCTGGGACTCTGAACCCATGACACACAATCACACACACAGTGTCATGACACACAATCCATGGGAAAAGCCATGGCGCTGCCCCACTCAGCAGCCTTGCTCAGCCTGGGCACTGGCAGAACCCTGCACAGATGCCACTCTATAGGGTTGATTTTTTTCCTGTCCCATATCCCCACACTTGTTCCCTGGCTTCCTCTGAAGAGTCAAGCTATATGGCAAATCACAGCCAACAAGCTGGGGGCCTGGGGTTGTTACTCTGTGGGTGTCTAAGGTGAAAAGCCTTGGACTTAATTTCCAGCAGCCTGTAATTAGTTAAGTCACTCGCTAATTTAAGACGTGGATAGGAAGCCAGTCTATGATCCTTGTCATTACTCCTCTGCTCTCCAGAACCCTGGAGTGACTGCTCAACCCGGTCCTGGTCTTATAATTTCCATTCTGACCTCGGATGATCAGCCATTGCCTTGCAAAACTGGGCTGGGGGCACGGCTTGAGCTTAGAGGTTCTCTGACTCCATCGCTGTAAGCTTCCCATGAATTTACATGCTACGTCCAGCTGTCCAACCAAAATTTAAGGGAAATGTTGATCTCAGCTGTTTGAAGTCACATAACACACACTTAAGCAAACACATTCGCCCTATTTTCTTTCCCTTGACCATGGCAGACATGGTTACCCAGGGAAGTCTTAAGTTAACAGCATACGCCAATGGCATTTACCTTTTTCATGAAATAAAACCCTTGGCTGGTAAGGTGGCTGCCAAACCCGAGGAACTGAGTTTTTTCTGTGGGACCTACATGGTGGAAGGAAGGTAATGACCCCTCCAAGATGCCCTCTGACCTCCACACACATGCTGAGACACACAGACACAATGGGAGTATACACACAAACACACAAAATAATAAAGAAATGTAATTGTTTTTTTTTTTTAAAGAAAAACAGCTCCAAAAGGCAAAATAAGTTTATCCTATACTATGAGTAAACTTTAAACCTACAGCGACTACAACCCAGAGCCAAAACTCTAAGTACATAAAACGTAAAGTTGAATTAGATGAAAGTTAGTTCCCAATCAAGTGCTCTTCAAAGTCCTACAGTAAACTGATCATTCAACTCCCTCTGCCACATTCAGTGAAGCGTCAACCATCAGATTTTTATTTCTGCTTACCTCTGCCACGCGGTGGGTGGAACTAAACCGAGGCTGTGAGCCAGCCAAAACACAGTGCTGGTGGGTGGCATTGAGGTCATCTGCAGGAAAAAAATGTAAAACAATATTAATGTTTATTAGTCAGTACACGCTACCCACTGTTTAACTGGAACACAAAGTCAACAGTAACTGTGTCATCTCATCCAAGGACCAACAACCACCAAGGAGTTAACACTTACCATGCATTATGGAAACTGTAATTATTATTTGTGAATAGGATGGCCAAATAAATATTGCATGCGTATATATAAAATGATTCATTCAAACCACAAATCTTGTATATGTGTACAAGATATATGTATCTTAAATAAGTCACCACACCAGGATGCTGTCTACAACATTCCAGAATGGTCTCGGAAAGCATGGCATACAGCCCACTACTGACACGTGGTTTTATGAGCATCACCTACCACACTCTTTGTCTGTGGACTGAGCTGTCCTCTTTTACAGTTACAGCCTTATCTTCAGCAGAGACCAGAATCCTTTCCAATTCTTTAGAAATAAATGGCTTTTATTCCAAATTCACCATTTTTCTAACTAACTGAAGGTTTAATTTTGCCCTGACAATTAAACAATCAAGCATGTTGGGCTCCTGGATCAGAATTCAAGCCTCTGAATCATGACTTGAGAAAGGAAAAGATGGTGGTAACCCATTAGTGGAAGACAAATCAGAAGCCAGGTTCCTGTGTATTTGTAACTGACTGCTACAGCCAGACAGTTCTAGCACTCACTTAAAGCATTACCTCATGTATTACACAGACAAGAACTGAACACTGGGTGCCTCAAACACATGTGATCTCTACTTTAGGCAACATAGGCCTCTACCAGATGCAAAGACAATGACTTCAACGACACTGCTACCTCCACTAGGTCCCATAGAGGTCAGAAAACACTCAGAGCAGAGGTCAGGAAACAAAATGACAACTGGAAGGCTTCAGCTCCCAGACATCATGAAGTGACAGTAAGAGGGCTTACCCGACTGAAGCCTTTGGCTCCCTGAGAACATGAAGTAACAGTTACAAGACTTACCCACTTCTAACAATTAAATGCTTCTAGCAATAAAAAGTAACAAAGCAAAAATAGGAATGAAGGGCTTCTGACACTGGGAAACAGATCCCGGAGAAGAGAAACAACACAGGCAGGTTTGCAATTGCTCTAACGTAGTGCCTGGATGGAAGTTCAGATACAGAGTGGGGAGGTGAAACGAGTGGAAAGGGCAGATGAGAGGGTGACAAGCCAAGAGGACAGCAAAGTTCCAGCATGTACTAGACTGTGGGGCTGGGGGTGGAGGCAGGGGCAGGGGTAAGTTTGGGGGTGGGCTCACTGCAGTCATTGGCTAAGCACTCAACTACGTATGTGTGAATGAAAACAGCCAAACACTTATGAAAAATAAGTATCAGAAAGGAGCAGCCTGGTCTAACCCCAGACCTCACTCATCACCAGAAATGAGTCGTCTCAGGAATGTTCCTAGGACAAGGTACTTTCCCGTTGGAAAAGGGTCACATCAGTAACCGAGCCAAACTTGTACCAGAGGAAGGGCTGTTAGATAAACCCAAAAAAGCCTAAATTAAGTCTCTATAGAACCCAACTTAAATAAGTAAGTTAATTATCCATTAAGGCATAATCTAACAGTATTTAAAAGAATGTAACAAAAAAAAAGGTATGTATCAAATACCATATACACTAGCATTCATTGAAAAGATAACAAGAGAAAACTCTACACCTACATAAGACATGTACAGATCTTTCTTTCACACACATAAAGTTTAATCTTATACACACATTCAGAAGCTTCTGAAAGTTAGTATCTGAAATAAAAAGGGCCACTAAATAGATGAAAGGAAATTTACATACTACAGAGGAAAAAAAAAAACGAGTGAACAAAACCACATGAAGTAAGGAACTCTCCAAAATAAAGGACACATTTTATCACACTGTATCAGTATACATGGACGAATGCTAGCAGCTCAGCACACAGGCAGCCTGCTGCACAGTAAGAGCGAAGACTTCAGCAAACAACCTGAACAAGCCGCTGTGGCATTTTCACACTTACGAAAACAATGGGCTCAGAGTCAAGCTCCCAAAAGCTGGAACCAAAGTAAAATAGTACAATGCTCATTGTGACCAGACTTCTGATGCTGGGAAAGGAACACACTGAAAAGAGGAAGATCAGAGTGAGTGCACACGGCTCTTCACTGGTGCTCAGAGCTCTCAGGAGACACCTGGGGAACACGGATATATAAACCAAAGAGAACTGTCCATCAAAAACCCAGACCTCAGTGGACACATGGGTCCAAATGAAAGTGAAACAGAAAACACTGACTCTGGCTCCTTTCTAGTTGAGAAAGGAAATATATAAATTGAGTTCCTACACTATACACTACCTGTGGTGGTTTGAATATGCTTGGCCCAAAGAATGGCACTATTGGAGGTGTGGTCTTCTTGGAGTAGGTGTGACCTTGTTGGAAGAGGTATGTCACTGTGGAGGCGGGGCTTTGAGGTAATCAAAGCTCAAGCTCTGCCCAGTGTGACAGTGTGAAGGAGAGTAGTCCTCTTCTGACTATCTTCAGATCAAGACACCGAACACTCAGCTCCTTCTAGAGCACCATGTTTGCCTGGATGCTGCCACGCTTCCTACTATGACGATAATGGACTGAGCCACTGAAACTGTAAGCCAGCCCAATTAAATGTTGTCCTTTATAAAAGTAACCTTGGTCATAGTGCCTCTTCACAGCAATGAAACCCAAACTAAGGCACTGTCCAAACTAAGAAGGGAGAAAAACACTGAGAATCCTCTGTGAAATTCACAGTATGAAAGCACAAAGTCTCTAAAAGATCAAGACTGGTTATAAGACACAGATGCTCTATATACCTTGCCACTTCACTAAACAACTGTTTAGTACAGCCCCATTTAACAGAAACATCATGTGATTCATCACAAAAAAAATTCTGAAAAAATTAAAAGTATACCTTGGAAGAATGAGCAAAATCTGAGTCAATAAAATAGGGAGGGGTTTTAGACCACATGCATTGGGCAGATAAGAGGAAATCATAAGTAAATCAACAATACGAACACCTGAAAATATAATCTGCTTCCACTGGCTTACGGAAGACTATGTCCTCACAGATCACTTGTCTTGCAACTTGTCAGAGTTTCTTTCCTTCTTAAGGGTAAATAATACTCTCTTTCTCTCTCTCTCTGTCTCTCTCTCTCTGTCTCTGTTTCTCTCTCTCTCTCTCTCTCTCTCTCTCTCTATATATATATATATATATTAACATAATATATAATAAATAATAGTATGTATTAAATATATAAATTATGTACATAATATATTTTATGTTTCTGAATTTGAATTTCTCAAGCTATTCTCAAAATTATATATAATAATTCTCAGAAATGTGTATGTTATATAATAATATATAAAATATAACACACACATACATACACACACACATACACACACACGTGTGCACGCGCACACACATGCACACCACATTCTGTGTGTGCACTCACACACATTAGCTGACAACCACTTGGGTTAGTTGTATCGTTTGCTATTGTGAATGACAGCGGCATGGCCATTGGTGTATAGATATTTCTTTGGCCATCTGATTTCAATGTGTTTGGTATATATTCAGATGTGGGATTTCTGGCTTGTACAGTGATTCTATTTTTAACACTTGAGAAAATGCCATATAGTCTGCCATAGGGTCACGCCAGTTAATGTTCTATCATCAGCTCATAAGCTCTCTAGTTTCTCCACAAGCTTACCAACACTTGCTAACTTCTGTCTTCCTTTCTTACCATGGTGATATCAATTGGGTATGAAGTGATACAGAGCCTTTGATTCACATTTCCCAATGAGTAATTTCTTAAGAGCAGAATCAACTAGGTGGCCAATCAACATTGGTTACAACACTGGTTACAACTAAATGTCTGGGCCCAAAGCATAAACTCTCAGAATAAAAAGTCGAAGCATTTGTGACCATGCAAGGGTGGCAGGACTACATCTCTGACGATGTTCTAATGAAGATGGAGCTGCAGGAACAGAACGAAACTTAGCAACTTCACTTGAGATCATCGTACCCACCTCAGATCCTCTATGTGCGAGAACAACTTCAGCACCCTCTTGTTGAAAAAGGAAATGTACCAACCCAGATTCTACAATGAATTTGGTCCCAACTAAGAAGGGAAAATTCTGAGAATAACTTGAGAAATTCACAATTTGAAAACAAAATCACCAGGAATCAAGACAGAATTATACAACAGACCATCCTATCATCTTGCCACCTTACTAAAAGCTGATTTAATGCAGCTCCACTCACCTGGGATAGCCTCGTACACATCATGGAAAATATGAAAAGGCACTCTAAGAGTCAAAAAGCAGAGCATGAAAGAATGAGCAAACATCAGAAGTAGTCAGCTATGACAAGAATGTTAGGATTACCAGACCATTAATTTTTTAAAAACTGTGATTAATATACTAAAGATCTAAAGGGAAAAGTAGACAACATACAAGAGCAGATGGAGAACTTGAGCAAAGGGTGGGGATTTTAATCATCAAAGAGAGATGCCCAAGATCAAAACCCCACCAGAAACACTGAGAGCTTCTGATGGGCTCATTAGCAAACAGGACATGACAGAGGGAAGATCTCAAAGCTCAAGATATGTTAATAGAAATTTCCCGAACTGAAAATCCCAAAGAGAAAAAAATGGCTAGAAAAAGTAGACTATGGAAGAACTATGACAAGTCTATAAACGGTATATGTAAAATGGGAATGCTGGAAGGAAAATACTGAAAGGAACAGAGGAAAATTAGAAGCAATGGTAAATAACAATCCATAAGTCTCTATCACTCACCAATCTGCGGAAGCTCAGAAACCAAACAACGGTCAGTGCTGATAACAAAACACTGTCCCATACTCACTATGCCTAGTCGCTGTTTTTATTTGTTTGGTCTTGAGGATGCTATGACTGAGCCCAGGGCATGCATGCTCAGCATGTACTCTACCACGGGGCTAACCTGCACCCTGGCATACC